AGTTCTGATTACAGTATATACCTTAAATAGTTTTTCAGTGCAAATGGACCTGGTTCATCTGACTTGCCATGTTTAGAAGATACTAGCTCTAAAGTTCATATGTGGGGTAGGATTTCTTCATTTAGATTGTCTGTATTTTCTGCCAAACGTGCATTTTTTTTTTAAACCTGAAGCAGATGCATTTTTTTTCTGTGTGTGTGTGTGTTTGTGGGTTTTTTTTTTTTTTTTTCCAAATGTCCGTTTGTTAAAAACACCTTTTATTTTGAAAAGTTGCTGTAGGGGTCAAGGGAAAACTTCCCCTTCATCCTCTGAAAGTCCACTGAAAAATCAACTGCCAAAAGGCAGATTAATTGGAGAAAAGGCATACAAATTAATTTAACGCATATACATGGAAAGAACCACACAGTGATTACCCACCCCGCAATGTGTTCAGAAGCTGACGTACTGTCTTGGTCAACCAGATTCTGGGAGAGTGGAGAATTCTGTTGAGTGGATTACTGGGACAAATGAGTGGATAGGGAAACAGAGATTAAATTTACATTATCTTGTGAAAGGGTCTGTTCAGGTCTGGTTAAATTCTTGGTTGTACAGGGAAAAAAAGAATAGACAATTTTTCTTTTTGGTGAGTCTGAATCTTAGCCAGATAAAGGTTTGGGTGAGACGGTGGCAAATGGAAAAGAAGACTCAGAGACATCTTGAGGCTTCATTAGTTTAGCATGTCAAAGTGCTGTATTTTGGGGTATCAGCTTCTGAGCCCCAACATTGCACAAGTGGAACAGAGAATCCCTGTATGTCCTTCATCCTGCAGAGGAGGGAAAACCTTTCCTTTACCCTCTGAGGTTTCAGTAATTGAGTCTATGAAATAAACTGACAGTAGACAGATTAACAGGAGAAAAGATATAACAATTCATTACATGCATGGAGGTATGTCATGAAAGAAAAGTGAATACCCCCAAACCCAGTGAGAGTTAGAAGCTTATATACCCTTTTCATGGAGGTGAGAAGAGGGAGGATATAGGTAACTTAGGATAGAATGAATGATTTTGGGGAAAGATGAATGGGCCCTCAGAAGAATAGGTGAAAGACTGTGACAGTCTGTCTGGACAGGGCATGGACTTCCAGTCTCCACTCCTGTTAAATTTTCTCTGGTTGATGAGATTCCTGGGGAGGAGATGCATGATAACCGAGTCAGTTTTGGAGCCTCTGTCTTTAGGCAGATGCAGGAAGTTCAGAGAAAGCCTCTACCTGCGTTTGCTCTTCCCCAAGAGTCTTAAGTTTAAAGTCATCAGCATACTAAAACAGCATATTCTGGGGTGGTATTACAGAACTCCTTCAATCCAGATTCCTAAAGTTAATAGTTTACATTTGCTTAATCATCCGATTACTTTTCTCTTTTCCTTCTTTGTTTTTGAGATGGAGGCTCACTCTCTTGCCCAGGCTGGAGTACAGTGGTGCAATCGTGGCTCATTGCAACCTCTGCCGCCCAGGTTCAAGTGATTCTCCTGCCTAAGTCTCCCGAGCAGTTGGGATTACAGGCAACTGCCACTGTGCTTGGCTAATTTTTTGTATTTTTAGTAGAGATGGGGTTTCACCATCTTGGCCAGGCTGGTCTTGAACTCCTGACCTCGTGATCCACCCGCCTTGACCTCCCAAAGTGCTGGGATTGCAGGCATGAGCCACTGCCCTCAGCCTACTTTTTCCCTTTTTTTTTGAGATGGAGTCTTGCTCTGCTGCCCAGGCTGGAGGGCAGTAGCATGATCTCAGCTCATTGCCGCCACCGCCACTGGAGTTCAAGCAATTCTCGTACCTCAGCCTCCCAAGTAGCTGGGATTACAGGCATGCGTCACCACACCCAGCTAATTTTTGTATTTTTGGCAGAGTCGGGGTTTCACCATGTTGGCCAGGCTGCCTCCAACTCCTGACGTCAGGTCATCTGCCTGTCTCGGCCTCCCAAAGTACTAGGATTACAGGTGTGAGCCACCGTGATGGACCCTATTACTTTTTTTCTAAAATATTTTAGAGTAAGTTGTGAAATAATGCCCCATTAACTCTAAATACCCTTCTGTGGTTGTTGTTTATTTAAAAATTTTTAAAGAGACAGAGACAGCCTTGCTCTGTCGCACAGGCTGGAGTGCAGTGGCCAGATCATGGCTCGCTGCAGCCTCTAACTCCTGGGCTCATGGGATCCCGCCACCCCAGCTTCCTGCGTAGCTGGGACCACAAGTGTGCACCACCACTTACTGCTAATTTTAATTTTTTTTTTTTTTTTTTTTTTTGTAGAGACAGGATCTGGTGATGTTGCTCAGGCTGGTCTTGAACCCTGGCCTCAAGACATTCTCTTGCCTCAGGGTCCCAAAGTGCTGGGATTACAGGCATTAGCTATCATGCCCAGAAGTATTTTCTTTTTTCTCCTTTTTCTTTCTTTCTCTCTCTCTTTCTTTCTTTCTTTCTTTCTTTCTTTTTCTTTCTCTCTCTCTCTCTCTCCTCTCTCTCTCTTTCTCTCTCTCTCTCTCTCTCTCTCTCTCTCTCTCTCTCTCTCTCTCTCTCTTTCTTTCTTTCTCTCTTTCTTTCCTTTTTTTAGCCTCTCTCTGTCACCCAGGCTGGAGTGCAGTGGTGTGATCTCGGCTGACCACAACCTCTGCCTCCCAGGTTCAAGTGATTCTCCTGCCTCACCCTCCTGAGAAGTTGGTATTACAGGCACGTGCTAACACGCCTGGCTAATTTTTGTATTTTTAGTAGAGAAAGGGGTTTCACCATGTTGGCAAGGCTGGTCTTGAACTCTTGACCTCGTGATCCACCTGCCTTGGCCTCCCACAATGCTGGGATTACAGGTGTGGAACACTGTGCCCAGCACTTTTTTCTTTTCTGAGACAGGGTCTTGCTCTGTTGCCCAGGTGGGAGTGCAGTGGCAGGCTCGCAGCTCACTGCAGCCTCGACCTCCCCAGCTCAAGCAATACTTTTACCTCACCCTCCTCAGTAGTTGGGACTACAGACTCAGTAGTTGGGATTTACCTCAGTAGTTGGTGGAATAATTTTTGTATTTTTTGTAGAGCTGGGGTCTCACTCGGTTGCCCAGACTGGCTGGCCTCTTAACTCTTGAGCTCAAGCAACTCTTGAGCCTCAGCCTCCCAAAGTGGTAGGATTATAGGGGTGAGTCACCACACCCTGCTCCAGAGGGGTTAACTCCAAGTACCTCAGTGGGTGTTTTCCCATCACCATGGCAGCCGTTTACCTATGTAACAAACCTGCACGTCCTGCACATGTAGCGTATGTATCCCAGAACTTTAAATGAAATGAAATTAAAGAAATAAATAAAAAAGAAATGGCCACAGCCACGCCAGCCTTCAGCAGCCATCCACATTGAGATGACCCTTCAGCAAAAGATAGTAACTCTCTGAGGTCTAAGATGAGTTACTATTAGCATTTATTAACAATAAAGTATTTTAAATTAGCATTTATTAACATAAAAGTATTTTAAAATTACAAAAAAAGAAAAAGATGGTTTTGCAGTATGCCAAAAATTTGCATAATCTTAATTTTATTATGAAGAAACATCAGACAAACCCATACTGAGGTACAAGCTACAAAATTACTGGCTTGTACTCTTCAAAAATGTCAAGGTAATGGAAGCCAGACTGAGGAATCCTTTCAGATTTATGTAGACGTGATAACCGATCCCCAGTCAGAAAACAATATTATTTTGTTGCTATAACAAGCATTATGGGGGTGGGGTGGGAGCACATGTCCTCAGGACCTCCTCAGACTGTCTTGAAAAAAAAAACAAAAAAGCGTTATTGTGTGGCTCATGCCTGTAATCCTAGCACTTTGGGAGGCTGAGGTGGGTGGATAGCTTGAAGCCAGGAGTTTCAGACCAGCCTGGGCAATGTGATGAAAAACTGTCTTTAGAAAAAAAATATATATATATTAGCAGATCATGGAGATGCGCATGTGTAGTCCCGGCGACTCAAGAAGCGAAGGTGGGAGGGTAGCTTGACTCCGGCGAAGTTGAGGCCGCAATGAACCATGATCGTACCAGTGTACTCCAGCCTGGGTGACAGAGCAAGGCCTTGTCTCAAAAACGAAAAGGAAAGGAAAGGAAAAAAAAGATGAATTTTGAAATATCTGTAGATTAAGGAATAATACTGTATTCATCTTTTTTTTTTTTTTTTTTTTTGAGACGGAGTTTCACTCTGTCGACATGGCTCAGTGCAGCCTTCACGTACTGAATTTAAGCGATTTCCCTGCCTCACCCTGCTGAGTAACTGTAATTACAGGCGCGTGCCACCACGTCTGGCTGATTTGTGTATTTTTATTTAAAAAAAAAAAATTGTATTTTTAGTGCTGAAAGGGTTTCACCGTGTTGGCCAGGCTGGTCTTGAACCTGCTGATTTCAGGCGATCCACTTGCCTTGGCCTCCCAAAGTGCTGGGATTACAGACATGAACCACCATGCCTAGCCAATTAGTTTTTTATGGTACTTGCACTTCCTAGTTTAGCCTAAGGTGATAATCACAGCAGGACAACGCTGAGCGTGTCAGAACTTGTGGATCCTTGTTTCACAGGGTTAGGTCATATCCGTCGTATTAATGTAACGCTTGGCACGTAGTCAATGGCTCCCCTCTTCCCAATTATTTCATCTCAGCAGTCAGCAGGAGGTAATGTAATTTATTTGCTTATATTTATGTCTTTCCCAAACACTGTCATACGTTATTTCTGTATCCCCAGTGTCTAGCACATATTAGGTGCTTGAAAAATGCCTATGTGAATGAGTGGTCAGGGGTAAGTATCACGGAAGAAGATAAGGACTACTTGTTGGCCCGTGGAGGGCATTTCTCTATTCTAATGGGACGTAAGGCGGAGGACTTCGGAGCGCACAGCCTGCCTTGAAACTTCGTAAATTTTCCCAGGAGTCTCCTTCACGTCCTTGATTGCTGGGCGTCAGGTTTCCGCTGGGTGCGGAGGAAAGCGGGGCGGGAAATCAAAAATCGAACTCTCAGCTCCCGGCATTCCTCGTGGGCGGCGCTACCCTTTGACCCTTCGCTCGCGTGCTACACATCCGCGACTGTGCTACCAGTGGGAGGAAGATGGCGGCCGCGGCTGTGGTGGTTCCAGCAGAGTGGATAAAGAACTGGGAGAAATCAGGGAGAGGCGAATTGTGAGTGTTCCGGCCGGAGGCAGGCGAACTGCCGGGCCGGGGCAGGGTGTCAGTTTCACTCTTACCTGTGGTGGGAGGTTGAGAGAGTAAGATGTACCCCGTCCCCCACCCGGGCGTCGGGCGTCGATGGTCAGCTAGGAGTTTCGAACTCTGGTAGACGTGCGGTTAACCGCCGCGAACCTCCTTCCTTCCCTGGCCTCCCAAAAATCGCTGCTGCCTGCGGTAGCTTGGCTCCCTTTAGCCTCTTAGTAGAACTCCTGTTCGCCCCTGCGGGTCTCCGCGCTCCCTCTTGGTCTCTTTTTGTGTTCCCCTCTTCGCTTGAGCTCACTTGGCTTCTTTATCCTTATCGGGCTGCGCCGGGGCGATTTGGACTTTCCGTTTCTCTCTGTTCCATTTCTTCACTCTGCATCCGTTCGACTCCGTAGTTTTAGAGCTTGACGCGTCCTCTGCCTGAAGTCCGAGGAGGGCGAACCGTCCCGGACTCCCTCCTCTTCTCTTCGTCCGCTGCCGCGAAGCCCGGGTCTCCACGAAGCACCCAGTTTGGCACCTCTCGTCCTCCCGGGGAGCGGTCTTCCGACTGTCCCGGCTTCGTGTGGCACCGTGGGGAACTGTGACAGGCATGGCCGCTTCCCCTGAAGAACTACCGGCATTTCTGGGCTCTGTCTTTTCACCTTAGAGCTATTGCGGGTTGCATTCAACTTTCGTCATTAAATGTCCCCTAAACCCCATTTTATCCTGGCACTGCAACGAATTCTGGCAACTATCCAAGCTGCTCAAGTACCTAGGATAAGCCGATTGCTTTAGTCGTGAAACTTTCCCCCGGTTACACCGAAAACAGTAACTTGCCATACCCCTAGTCTTCTCGCCCACTAATTAGAGCGCTCCCTCCTTTCCTCCCCCTGGAAAAAGTCGTTTAATCAGCAAAGCAAACAACAGGATTAAGAACAGATATTAATAACAGGGTCTAATTTCCTTCTCTGGATCATTTTTAGATGTTAAAGCTCAACCCTGAATGAAATTAACTCTGCAATTTTTGTCGTCCTTGCCCACCCCCCTCCATTTCTGGTAGCCAGTTTACCGTGGCTCGAACTAAACATTCAAATCTTTGTAACTTCATTACTTGGAACGAAACACGAGGAACGCGTTGCCGGATCCCGCGCTTGTAATATTGCCAGTCTCTGTGGCTTCCTCCCCCGCACCCTCTGCACTGCTTTATGAAGTCTTAACACTGTGCGCTCTACAATTGCCTAAATAAGCGGCTGTCGTAGCCACTCAACTAGCTGAGTGACCTTGGACTGTTTCCCCTTGAATAAATTGGGAATAATAAGTACTCTACTCAAAGGATTGTTGTGAAGACTAAATAATGCCTGTAAAGCACTTGGCTTATAGTAAGTGCTCAAGTGATAGCTATTAAAAGTAATATTATTCCAACCTTTAGATATTTAAACTTCTCAGGACAGCTCTTGCGCTTAAAGTCTGTACCACTCAGGTTAGCAATTAATTCGTCTCTGACTCCTTCACGTGTATTTATTCTTGCACTCGAATGAATTGAGAGGCCCTTGAAAGACAGGGACTATGCCCCAGATTTCTTTTGGTTCAATACACGCCCCGCCCCCTTCAACAGATGCTTAGAATTCTTACTGGTTTATTAATTTCCAGGAAAGACTGTTTGATAAACCTTCGTTTTTAACCGTAGTGAACATTTTCCTAATCCTCCTACGTGCTAGTTAACAAATAGCGATCGTGTTTGATAAACTAGTTGACAGCCATCAAGTTTTGGGAAGTGCAGATGGGAAGTTACCCAGCCAGACTGTTAGCTTCATCCGTATTAGGGTAATCCCCCCAAAACTGATAAAGCAGTTCGCTGTTTTATTTACTTTGAAAGCCAGCTCATTTATTTAGGGGCTGTCATCTTTGTAGTTTGCTCAGCTTTTTCCTTTCAGCTACTTTTTCTTTTTTTGAGATGCAGTCTGGCTCTGTCACCCAGGCTGGAGGGCAGTGGTGCGATCTTGGCTCACTGCAACCTCCGCCTCCCGGGTTCAAGCGAGTCTCCTGCCTCAGCCTCCTGAGTAGCTGGAACTACAGGCACATGCCACCACGCCTGGCTATTTTTTTTTTTTGTATTTTTAGTAGGGACGGGGTATCACTGTGTTAGCCAGGATGGTCTCCATCTCCTGACCTCGTGATCCGCTGGCCTCAGCCTCCGTTTTACTATTATTGCTCCCACCTTAGAATGAAAGGTATTAGGGCTACAGGTGAAATTCTGCTTGGCTTCGGACCGTTAGTGGTTGGAGAAAAAGTTACATAGGAGGTCGAAATACCTAGTTTAAATGGAATTTTAGGTTTACATTATGTATATTTACATAATACATGCTACCTGTCATGGTTGCCATGTGTGAAGAGCTGCTTAAAACCTTATTAGAACTTATATGTATGTAGTTATTGCATGATTTGTGGAATGTGTTTTGAATTATGGTAGATCCAAATCAGTATAGCCAGTTTTATGATTGCATTCTGTTACACGAAGATAAAGTTGTGTAACATAATGAGCTGCTTTAGTTAAACACATCACCATCCAGTACTTAGTTTTTGTTTATTTGACCTGTTTTCCCTCTGTGAAAACTTTGCCGCATATAGCATGTCTTGGGAGTTTCCCTATCTTCCTAAGGATAGATGTTACCATTTTCATTTTGTTAGGCAGACTACATGGTGGTGCAAACATATTACAAAAAAACCTTTTTCCTTTGTCTGAAAACAGTTTCTGAAATATAAAACAGCAACTGGAAATGAAGGTAGTATGCCAACAAGTTATTAGTGAATCTGTTTACAGATTTGGCATTTAGAATATGACCAACATTTAAAATTATACCTTGGGTGAATTTTTCCTTTTTAACAAGGTAAATTGGCAGAAAAGCTTTAAGTTGACTGAAAATCATCTTTTTAAAAAATAATACGATGTATTTCATCAGGTTGTTAATTTGTTTCTTGTCTGTCACTTCTTACCAGTGTAAATCTTTCTGGGGATGGTGGTCAACTAGTGTTGAAAGCAACACATGAGATGTATGGGGCATTTTATAACTTTTAGATAGGGCAGATTGTCAGTTGTACCCCATGAAAAACAACTGTCTATTAAATGGAAGGTCTTGTCTTTGGAGAATGTTTTTATTAGGTAATTAAGGAGAAAAGTAAAACTGTTTTTTGCCTATCTGAATGGTCCATCCATCACATACCTAGATACCCCATTATGTTTCCAGAGATACACCAATTAATATTTTAAATGCTAAATTATAGAACTCTTAAAGAGACCTTTTCCAACAGGGATCAGAAGGGCGAAGGAGGACTACCAAAATGTAATTGTCATTTCCAGTAATGCTTTATATCCAAATGTAAACTCTTTCAGATTGTGAAACATATGTGTTTAAATATTTAATTTTGAAATTAGTTTCTTGAAATTAGTCTCTTTATATTAACATAGAACTTGCCATGGTGAAGCGAATAAGCTTGCATGTACTGGTAGATCCAGCGTAGAATTCTGTTTTTAGTAGAAATCATTAACACAGTAAGCTCAGCATTTCTTTTTTACAAGCAACCTAAATGGAGAATTGATCTTAATCTGAAGATGCTAGCCTCATGTTAATACTTAGCCTAATTTTGAAATACTAATGTTTGTTGAGTATCATCTGTTTAAGTAGCTTATTTAGGTATTTCAGTTAGAAAGTTTGGTTAGGTTGCTATCTTATTAATGGTAGTTAAAAAATTTTTAAATTTAATTGTCAAATGTTTTGATTGCTATTTTTCTCCTGCTACTACGCGATTGCTGCTTTTTCTGCTGCTACTACACGATTTTAGACACTCTAGAACTTATTAAGTACATTTGGATGTTCAAAACATGCCATCTGATCTGAATTTCTGGAGGATTCTAGGTAAAGGGATATAATCATTCTAAGAAATTTTAGTCTTGGTGGTTGAGTCTTTTTTTCCTCGCAAAGTTGCTTCAAATTCAGCCGAAGCTTTATGTGAAACCTTTTCTTGATGTCTCAGTTTTCATTTGGTATTTAATTTCCCATTTTGACCTCTATTCATGAGCTAAGTATAAGTCTTAGTCTGTTTTCCTGGGAAGAGAAACATTCTTCAGAGAATGTTGAAGCAATGTCAGGAGGTTGTATAGGCTTTGTTTGTTAAAAAAAAAAAAAAATTATTCTAGAATGCTTTAATGTTAAGGTGGGGTGAGCGCTGTTAATATCCTTCTGCTTTTTGCCTACTGTAAGCATGGCAACTCCTGTTGTCTTTTTTTTTTTTTTTTTTTAAACATTTCCTCTTTCCTTTTCTTTTAAATGCATGTTTCCACAAGATAAAACTATATTGTTCCAGTATTCAATTTTGTGGGTTATGTCTCTGTTCAACAAATGGTAATAGAGGTAGCACTTTGCTTAACCTCATTTAACCTTTTCATTGTCTTGTTTTAAAGAATTAAGTGAAGTGTAAATGAACATCAGCCTTTTATATATGAAAGCCAAATTTGAGATGTGAGCATAATTAAGTAGTTTAAGTTCGTGTCTGTATTTCCTTTTTAATGGAAAAGGGAACAAGTTGGATGAAAAGCTGTATATTCATGTTAAGAAGTATTCACAAAATATCTTTTAAGTCCTTGAAGGAACTTCGGACATTTTATTCAGTTTTTTTATACATCTTTTGACAGAAAATAGAGTCTGTCCTCGTTCTCAGGGACCTGAGACAGCATCTTCATAATAGCAGTAAACTGTTTTAAGAGTAGAAAAAATGAAAGCCTAAGGTGGTGGCATGTGAGGTAGTATGGACTGTGGCACACGCCTGTAATCCCAGCTACTTGGGCAGCTGAATCAGGAGGAAGGATTGCCTGAGCCCAGGAGAGTCCTGGGCAATATAGCAAGAACCTGTCTCTATTTTTATTTTTAAAAAATTAAATTAAAAAAAATGGAAAAATGGTAAAAAGTATCTGAAAGCTCTTAAAGGATTAAAAT